TCCTGTTTGGGACTGTAGAAGGGACAGAGCAGGACATACATGAAGGAAGCACCCCTGTACCACATCCTAACCATAGTAAAGTGGGAAGAAGAGGTGACAAGGGCTTTCTTCCTGCCTTCATTTAAGGGCATATTGAGCACAGTGAACTCAATCAGTGGGTAGGAGGCCAGGATAGCAGCAAGAGGGAGAATTAGCACTGTCACACCCATCAAATAAACCATGAGTTCATATCTGGAGGTGTCTGCACAGGCTAGCTTCAGTAAGGGAGGGATCTCACAGAACAAGTGATTGACCTGCCGAGATTTGCAAAAGGAATACTGCATGGTGTAGATGCTGTATCCTTGATTGCTAAGGGAAGCCAGGTTCCACGATATGGCTATCATGAGCCAGAAGACTTTGTGACTCATTAATATTGTGTAGTTCAGAGGTTGATAAATGGCCACATACCTGTCATAGGCCGTGACATAGTAGATATAAAGAGATATGTTGATGGATTCATCCCATTACTTCCCTAGGGTCCTGCCCCAGACATTAGCTTAATTATCTGCATTCATTTCCTTGTATATAAATTTCTGGCAATGGTAATGACAAGGTTATTTTTTGCCAAAGGTACAAAAAATTGTCATGCACACTTTTGTAGCAACCTGACAGAAGTAATACCTCCTCTTACTTTGGCATCTGAACCTCTTCAGCTCCAATAATAATCCTAGCACAGTTGGTATTGCCTTGAAACATTCCCTTTTAGATTTGGGGATAGAGACTGTTTCTTATTTAGGCAATATGTGTTAAGATACAGAAATACAAGCTCACTGATCTGTTGCTCTGATCCTTTAGTTCCTCAGGCTTCAGACCTTATTAATTCTCACCTGTACTCTAGATATCTTGTAGAAGAAGCCACCTTTCAAATTTGGTGACATTTTTGTTATTGTTTCCCCCTGGCTAGACCCCAGGTGCTTAAACTCTTGATAATGGACTCTTGGAAAAGTGTTCATACTTACCTTTTGTTCCCCGAATTTTTCTGGATTCTTAAAATCTATTATTGAGCTACAAATTAATAGTACCTCAAAGCAGAGCTATGTACTGTTGTTTAAGGTTCCTCACCTATTCATATCTGTATAGCATTGAAAATATCAGAGAAAAGCCAAGTGAAATCAATTAAAATTTTAAACATATTCAGGAGTTATATGGATGAAAAACTACCATTATATTTTCATGAGTGAACCTAATATAATCAAAGTATAATCACAGAGCAATAAGTGCTCGTGTACACACACACACACACACACACACACACACACACACACACACACACAGAGAGAGAGAGAGAGAGAGAGAGAGAGAGAGAGAGAGAGAGAGGCATACATGCACTCATGGGCATTGTTATTGCTCATGATTGTCCACCATAGCTAGATGGTAAATCCTATTGTTAAAAAACCCTGCATGCTTTGATTGTAGGACACAGATAAAGCAATCTTGAACTGATCAGGAGTCTCTCTGCTGACTAGCTGTTACAGTGCTAGAAGGTACTAAGCCACCTTCTGGCAAAGAAAAGTCATTAATGGCCCTGATGTGCTCTGGATTCTACATGCTAGAGTACAGATTTTCCAGGTGCGATTTGACCACTGGCATAATTGTGGCAAGACCGTTTATAGGGGTAACCAACTGCTCTCGGCTGAACACGAGGCTAATTCCACAGTAGGCAGTTAATTTCTTGTGCTGTTAGAATGTTAAAATTCAAGCCTGGGGAAATTGAAGGTCCCAAGAAAGAAATTCTAGGTATTGTTTTGCCAAGGGTCATGTCAAATTGCCTTCTATATATTTATGGTTATACTCATAGGCTTTTGCAGCTCTCAGATTTTGTCAGAGTATCTTCTTACTGTAGAAGGTAATGGTTAGTGCAGAGACTTTAATTCTTCAAAGTGTTAAGAATAAGCAACTGCAAATGCTCAGCCAAAGATGAGACATCTGTATTAAACATTCCACTTCAGGATAAGGAAGGTCACAGAAGAGAGGGTAAACAGAATGTAAACAAGAGGTTGGAAAGAGTGCTTTGGGAAGCTGGTCTGACCCCAGAAAGACTGGTCTGACTTCAGAATGACTGCTGCATACATGAACTCTCTGCAGCTGTTGTTGCCAGCATAGCTCTGCACAAGATTGATGCAGTTAAAAACTCCACCTTAGGGGAGTGTGTGGGGTCCTATAACCTTCTCTAGTGAGGAGTCACTGGCAATTGAGTGCTGCTGAGGAAGGGAGAGTCACTGTCTTTTATGGGTGGTGATTAGTAGGTTGCCCATGTCTCTGTGGATGATCTCACACCCATGTTCATAGAGGCAGCACTAATTATATTTATGAGGAATGAAATTGGGAAATATATGTGTTGAGGAAGCAGGAGTTGTAGGATGGATGTGGGGTTGGTATGACAAAGATACATTGTATGATTGTATAAAATTTCAAATACTAGAAAAGATTGGAAATAAATTAATTTTCTCAAACAACAGTATCCAGGACTTATATTTACAACATATTTAAACTATCAAAAATTGAAATACACTGCCATTTATTCTATTTTCCAGGTTTCAAATATTTTTTAGACAAGGGCTCATCATGAAACACTGTTTAGCCTGGTCTCATGGCCACAGAAATCATATTGCCTCCTGAGTACTGGGATTAAAGATATGTACTGCTATGCCTGTCCCAATTTATCTTTAACTGATAAAAACAATGAAAAGTATGCATGTATATCAGGTACTATCATGAGACATGCAAATATTATTTCATGTTTAAATAAGATAAACAAACAAGCATAATGGACCCTTAGTAATTACTGACTTATCTAAAGATCTGTTAGGAAAAAAAAGTAAAGTATGAGTTTATTTTGCTTTTTGTTTTTATTATAGACAGAACAGAAGCATACATTTTCACTTGAAATTCCATCACTGCATAAAAAGAAAGGATGAAAGGAAGGAAGAAAGGAATGAAGAAAGAAAGAAACAGAGAAAGGAAAGAGCAAGGAAGATTCCTCCCTGCCAAGCAAGGACATATATCTGGGCATCCATAAATCTGATGTTTACAAAGAGGGAGAGTGAAAATGGTCCTATATTTTATGGACATTAGACAATCCTATTGCTGTCAGTATTATGTTTGACTGACATTGTTTTAAAATTTTTGTAAACTGCAGTCATTCCCTCCTAATAATCTGTGAGTCACCACCTAAAATTATTTTCTATAGTTCTTAGTCTAATATAATGTAAAATCTCGGGAGAACCAGGCCCCCTGTATGTGGGTGTCAAACAGTTAGGAGGCCTGGGAAGTCTATGGGACCCCTGGTAATGGAACAGCATTTATACCTAGTATACAAAAGGATATTGGGATTCCATTCTCCATACAGGGTTACTCTTTCAGCCTACACACACAGTGGAGAGCCTAGGCTCTGCCCAAAGGCCTGTGGGGGACTTTGATGATCCCCCACAGAAGGCCTCACCCTTTCTATGGAGCAGAAGAGGGATGGCATGGGGGTTGGTGGGGGCACCGTAGAATGGGAGGGAGAGGGAACTGGGATTGATGTATAAAATAAGATTGTTTCTAATTTTTTAAAAAAGGAAAAAAAAAGCCTCAGAGTTCAGGTTCAGAGAGTACTTTCCTTTAGACTTTTTATCTAAACAGTTATTTTAGAAAATAGAGATACAGAAGAGAAACTCTAAGCAGTGTGAATTTTATCCAATTAAATATTTTGAAAGATAATGTCCAAAGAGATATTTAAAAGATTGTTGCATTGACATACTTGTTAATCAAAAGATACGTGTTTTTACTGCCCAAGGTTTTTCAAGAGTATTATATTCATAGCGGAAATTTCTAAGGACTAGGAGGAATTAGGTTTGGAATAATAATATTGGAACTATTTTGAATGTACAGTATAATGGCAACAAGTATTTCCCAGGACTCTCCTCAAAGCCCCAGTTACTTCCTTATTCCTCAGGCTGTAGATGAGGGGGTTGAGAGCTGGGGTGACAACTGTGTAGAAAACAGAGAGGATATTCTCTTGCTTGGAATTGTGGTAGGAACTGGGTATGACATACATGACAGTGAGTGCCCCATAGTACATGCCCACAACAGTCATGTGTGAAGAGCAGGTAACAAGTGCTTTCTTTCTCCCCTCATTTGAGGGCATGTAGAACACAGTGAACAAAATCCATGCATAAGAGAAAAAGATAACAGTAAGAGGGAGAATTAACATTAGCACACCCACCAAATAAACTACAAGCTCAAAATTAGAGGTGTCTGCACAGGCCAGCTTTAGCAAGGGAGGGGTCTCACAGAACAGGTGTCTGATTTGCCTAGATTTGCAGAAAGAATAGTGCATGGTAGTGATGGTAAATCCTAAGGCCATCTGGAATGCCAGAAACCATGATGCAGTGACCATTAGCCAACAGACTACTGGCCTCATTAAGATTGTGTACTTCAAAGGATGACAAATGGCCACATACCTGTCATAGGCCATGAAGGCCAGAAGGAGGTCCTCTGCACCACCCAGTGTCAGTGCCAGGAAAATCTGAAGGGCACAACCCCCTAAAGAGATAGTGTTGTCTTTGAGCAGAAAATCCAAGATAGCCTTGGGGGTGATGACTGATGTCAGGAAGAGGTCCATTAGAGAGAGCTGCCCAAGCAGGAAATACATGGGCACATGGAGCTGGGCATCCATGGTGATGACCAGGAGCAGCAGCCCATTGCTGGTCAGAGCCAATGTGTACAGGGCTGTGATTGCAGCACACAGAAGTTCAGGATAGCCACTGTCATCCAGAATCCCCACCAAGATGAAGCCACTGCCCAAGGTAGAGTTCCAGAATTCCATTTTTCTAAGTTTCTTTGGTTGCCTAGAAAAACATGGCTTTGTGAAAATTTGTTAATATGGACTCTAGTTGTAGTATTAGAAACTCTTATGATACCAACATGACTCAAAAAGACAGCAGCTTTCATTCTGTATTTCCAAGTTTCTAAACTTAAATTTTACTTAATAAAATTTCTGAGGATATTGATATCACTGACTGCAAATTGATACTCAGCCCTAGAATATAATACAGAAACTTTAGTACTCCTAATTGATTATCTATTGATACTTACAAAAAACTAAAATAGTGAGAGCAGAAGGGCAATGGAACCCCATGAAACAGTAAATCTAATACTATAATTTAAGTCTCTAGGGTCTAATTTGAAGTTCACTCATTGTCATAATTTACTCAAGGGATTCACATTTCATTAAATGAGAGACAACTCCCTTACCTTTAGTGGTGAGATACCTGGCTATCTGATCCCCCCCACCAAGCCTTACTTGGGCTGCTTAAAGTTAGAGGTTATTTCATCACAAATGGAAAGGGCAGGGGTGGTTTTCTTCAGCAATGATTACTTAGTTTGTTTATTAAATTGGTGATGTACAATAGGAGTCCATCAGATGT